CCTTTTCTTATGGCAAGCCTAAATGCATTCTGGAGTAAAAATGTGCTTAACAAGTCACATAAGGTGCATGGACTCACTCTGTGCAATAATGGTGTTTAACATGATTTTTTAATGACTACCTCATCTCTGTACCCCACACATACAATTATCTGTAAGGTCCCTCAGTCGAGCAGTGCATTTCAAACACAGATTCAACCACAAAGACCAGGGAGGGTTTCCAATGCCTCGCAAAGAAGGGCACCTATTGGTAGATGGGTAAAACATTTAAAAAAAAATAGCAGACACTGAATATCTGTTTGAGCATGGTGAAGTTATTAATTACGCTTTGGATGGGGTATCAATACACCAAGTCACTACAAAGATATAGGTGTCCTCCCAACTCAGTTGCTGGAGAGGAAGGAAGCTGCTCAGTGACTTCACGATGTGGCCAATGGTGACTTTAAAACATTTAGAGTTAAATGGCTGTGATAGGAGAACTGAGGATGGAATCAACAACATTGTAGTTTCTCCACAATACTAACCTAAATGACGGTGTGAAAAGAAGGAAGTCTGTACAGAATAAAAAATATTCCAAAACATACATCCTGTTTGCAATAAGGCACTAAAGTAATACTGCAAAAAATGTGGCCCAAAAAATATTTTTTTGTCCTGCAAAGCATTATGTTTGGGGCAAATCAACACATCATTGAGTACCGCTCTTCATATATTGAAGCATGGTGGTGGCTGCATCATGTTATGGATATGCTCGTCATCGGCAAAGACTAGGGAGTTTTTTTTATTTTTATGAAAAGAGCAAAATCCTAGAGGGAAAATCTGGTTGTCTGCTTTCCAACAAATGAATGTTCCTGAGTGGCCTAGTTACAGTTTTGACTTAAATCGACTTGAAAATCTATGGCAAGACTTAAATCTCTGTCTAGCAATGATCAACAACCAATATTAACAGAGCTTGAAGAGTTGGAAAGGAATAATGGGCAAATATTGTACAATCCTTAGACTCACCCTAAAAGACTCACAGCTGTAATTGCTGGCAAATGTGATTCTAACATGTATTGACTCGGGGTTGAATACTTATCTAATCAAGAAATATTGGTATTTTATTTAATCTTAAAAAATAAAAATTATTCTACTTTGACATTAGAGTATTTTGAATTGCAAAAAAAAAAAGACAATTAAATCCATTTTAATCCCAATTTGTAACAACAAAATGTGGAAAAAGTCAAGAGGTGTGAATACTTTCTGAAGCCACTGTAGCCCTATACTGCCCTCTGAATATTATCAATCACTGTTCATTCAAAAATAAGCTCATATTATATATTTTATGTATGATTGCAGTTGTTTCAATTACACTCGCCTCCTAGGTAAGATTCAGCCCTTCGATCACTTCAGTGTTTAATACGTTTGACCATGTTCAATAACTGTGTTGCTAAATCAATCCCTTCAGATCTATTTTTCCAATATATCTGGGTTTTGGCTAATTGTTATACTGTGAAAATAAAGCCTTGCAGTGTATGGGAAAATTTGCACGACTTGAGGTGTGAATGTTATTCAATTCCATGGAGGAAGAATGTAGCCTATAGATTTAATCTTTTTCACACAAAATCACTTTTGAAATATGAGTAGGTTATTTGTTTCATTTCAGCCGGGGATGTAGAGAGGAAGTTTAGCTGAAGTCTGTACACTGTAACAGGCTGTCTAGATTCCCCATGGGTCTCCCACACCCTTTTCCCTAACACCTACTCTTCCTCACACCCCCAGACACCACACACTGCACAGCACTCTGATAAGGCTTTGGAGCCAGGGTGCTGTTGTTCTTCCTCCCAACCAGAACAAGACAAGAAGAGGGAGGGAATCATTTCTGAAGCTGGGCACAATGCTGGAGCAATGGAGGCTTTCTGCCTTCCTGCCTTTCAGGACACTTCTGAAGCTTGTAGAGTAGACACCCCCTTCCCTTCACCCCCTATCTCTCCTCCCAGTGGAGGGCCAGTTAATCCTGGTGACAAGCTCAGACTCCTCAGCTGTTCCTTTGTGCTCCCTCTTCCACAAACGCCAAGTCCACTGGATCCAGGTGCTCCTAACTCACCCCCTTTTCAAATGACTGGAAAAGCTGGTATGAGGCAACATTGATAAGTCATTTGTTCGCCTGTAGCTCAGTTGGTAGAGCATGGCGCTTGCAACGCCAGGGTTGTGGGTTCGATTCCCACGGGGGGCCAGTATGAAAAATGTATGCACTCACTAACTGTAAGTCGCTCTGGATAAGAGCGTCTGCTAAATGACTAAAATGTAAATGTAATTTGAACTGGCAGAGAAATGTCAGGACAGCTTTTGACTTAGTTAGGCTTACTCAGAAATAGGCTTAGGTTTTTGGGACCCTGTGCAAAAGTAAAACAAAGCAGACTTTGGTATGCGTCTTATCCCAAGCTGTGTGCCCTTGAGCAGAATTTAGTTTCTTATTTAGGTAGTAGCTTATTTGATAGGCTGAACTGCTGTACCTTCCTCTCTATTTGATAGGCTGTACCGTCCTCTCTATTTGATAGGCTGTACTGCTGTACCGTCCTCTCTATTTGATAGGCTGTACCTTCCTCTCTATTTGATAGGCTGTACCGTCCTCTCTATTTGATAGGCTGTACCTTCCTCTCTATTTGATAGGCTGTACCGTCCTCTCTATTTGATAGGCTGTACCTTCCTCTCCATTTGATCAATTTTCTTTTTTAAAAATCTTTAAGTGCAAAATTCATGTGAGGCATAGTGCATTTCTATCATAACTAAGGAAATGCCTGAAGTTTCTGAACCCTATATTTTTATATACCCAGTCTTAATTTCTCTCTTCATGGTGGGCCCATCTTTGGAGAGTGCATTTCTCCAGAGTGCCAGAGCTTTCATTGTGCTTTTTCAAAGGAAGTTTCCAGGTTCCTCCTGCTGTTTTATGCAGATGGAAAGTTTTCTTCATTGAGTGTTGCTGAGAAAGAAAATGAAATGCTGTCGAGAGGGGAACGAAAACATGAGCTTTGAAGATGGACCTGAACAGGGACTAGCACTATAGTGTTTTTGTGTAGGGTTATCTATTTTGATATAAACTAGCTTTCTAGTGTATAGAGTTGATGACTGCCTCACTAGCTAGATGTTTTGCAGGGTTGAGTTTAGCTACAGCACCAAATGAAAATGTGGCCCATAGGCTGTTCGTTTCCATGTCTGTATTAGCTGGCTTGATAATCCTACTGTTGGCGCCACTTGAACATGATGATGGGCAAATAAGGAACCACATTCTTCTAAGTGAATGATCGTGCCCAGGGGCCAGTCATGGATGTTTAGGAAAGAGCTGGCATTGTTTGTTTGGTAGTGAGACTGGCTCCTGGCCCTGCCTCTTGGGATTGTGCATTTGGGGCAGAGACCGAGAGGGACTGCTTTGCAGCATGTGGAGTGGACAGGCCTCTGCTCTGATCTCATAAAAAGTGCAGCTGTTGAGGAGAGATTGAGCTTTGTAATCCCCACTGTTATGTATCCACTGGGGGCTGAGGTGTCAAGAATCCTCCCTGATGGCTTTCGGTGGTCTCTGTCTGGGCCTCCACATTCTGCTGTCTTTTTAGGAATGCCTTTGGATTACCAGTGCGGCATATTTGTTTTCAACACTCCGATGTCCAATACACACCACCACTTACTTCCAAACTACATCCTTGAGATCTCATAATAAGTATGTTGTTTACTTGTTGTATGCCAAACGTTGACTAGACCTAGTATCTAGAGACAGCATTTCTGTGATTGTGGCATTTCTATAGCCTATTTCTCTGTACCTTTAGGCAGTGAGACTGTGTTCATTGTGTTCTTATGTTCCTCTGCAAGTCACAGCTCTCCTCTTTCAGTTTTGACCTATGAACCTTGTGATTTAGGGAAGAAAAGAAAGGGGGAGACACACATGGCCTTATGGTAGAATTAGGCTGTGACTTTAAATCTAAAGCTTCTTCTCCCTCTTTAGTTCTCCACTAGGACCTGTATGATAGCAATCTTCTGTGTCTTTCTCAATGTCTAACATGTGCACCACACTACAAAGACATGTATGTGTTTGTGAAATCCAGATTTAATCCACAAAAGCATGGTCTAAAAAAGGTTACGTTGGACATATAGGCCTAGATATGGGGGAGGGTAGAAACTAAAGTATGAGGTCTCCTATTCCATTTAAATGTGTAGCTCATCTCGGTTCATTGGCCTCGCAGCCCTTTTGTAGTCAAGAATGAGGAGTGGTGTTCTGAGGACGTGTAGACGGGCAGTAAATTGTGGTTAGTCTGGATTTTTATCCTGTTCAGGGGGAGGAAGTTCTCCTTAGCAGCAGCATGTAGACTGGCTGACTGGCTGGCTCCACCATGTTACAGTCTGATGTTCCTGCCAGCTTCACAACAACTCCAACATGGTCTATGATTAGAAGGTTAGGCCTACAAGTTTGGACTGAAGGTGAAACGAGTGATTATACCCCAGAGAAAGTTAGATAACATGTTTTGACAACTTTTTATGTAAAACATTGCTAACAGAAGCATCATGCCCATAGTGGGCACAGGGGCAGCCCCCCCCCCCCCCCTTGGAGGAACTGTCTCAGTGAAGTACTGTGGTGGAAACCAACGATGGCTCTTGTCTGTGCTTAGTAAACTTACATGCTACTAAACCACAGTGTGGCACCCAACCCACAGCCCTCTCTCCTCTCCGCAAGCATTGTGTCAGTGCTGTCTGTCTGTCTGTGATGACATCAGTCTGTGTGTATGCGTCCAATGCCCCCATCCCAATCAACAGTCACTGAGTCACCACTTGCTTACTGGGTGGCACATTATGCAATCCAGCTTTTGCTATTGGCTTTCACTCTCATTGTGGAATATCTAACTTGATTCTAAATGTAGCTAACATGAAAAGGTCATGGGCTTCTCTTCTTAGTCACATTTCAACCTAAATGAGAATAGGGTCTATGGCTGTGAACCTTTTTTTTCTTTATAATGTATTTATTTTCATTTTCCTCAGGATCCCCCTTGCTGCTGTTTGCCAACCGGCGGGATGTAAGGCTGGTGGATGTGGAGGTGGTGGGGAGGCCAGAGTCTGCGGTGGTGGTCAGCGATCTGGAGGATGCTGCTGCCGTGGACTTCCTCTACTCTGAAGGACTCATCTTCTGGACCGACGTCAGCGAGGAGGCCATCAAGCAAACCTACTACAATCAGTCCAACTGTAAGCTTTACAGCGCCACATCCCAGTTAGGGCTGTTATTATGTTGTATTTACTTCCATTTGTAAGTGTGTTAAATAAGTGTTAAGTAAATAAAAACAATTTATTCTGCAAAGCATAAACTGGAAAAAAATTCCAACCTAAGCTAAATCTAGGAAATCACACAAGAATGTCACTATTAACGGAGGGAAATTGATAAGTGTAGACCTAAGTGTTCCCACTCAAATGTTGGTGTTTTGTTTCCAGCTCTGAAAGAGGCCTTGGGGACAGGACAGACTGTCGTCGTGTCGGGCCTCGACTCCCCTGACGGACTGGCTTGTGATTGGTTGGGCCGTAAACTATACTGGACCGATTCGGAGACCAACCGCATTGAAGTAGCCAACCTGGATGGCACCTCTCGGAAAGTGCTGTTCTGGTTAGACCTGGACCAGCCCCGGGCCATCGCCCTGAACCCAGCCCACCGGTGAGTCTCTGTCCCTGGCCTGGCCTGGCCTCTCTCTCTTTCTCTCCCCTGACTGGGACATGGTTCAGGGTGTGTTCCTGGGTCATGTATCCGCGCTAACCTCTCCTTCCATCCATGTGTATTTCTGGTTCATACATGCATCCGTTGGTTGAAGAGAGGGTGGAAAACCTGCTGTTCAGCTGGGTCTGTTTCCTGTTGTGTTGCGTAGATCCTCTGGAGTTGACCCTTTTTCTCTCATAGGGCACGGTTTCTAATTCTATGTCAGGGACTAAGGTTGTGTATCCGTTGTTAGCATTGTTGCGTCAGTGTAATTCCCCCTCAGTCAGTGGAAAGTAGTGCAGGAATACCTTTTAGTTGATGGATTTAGTGTAATTGAGTGCTATTTTTGAATGTGTATGGTTCTTTTAAAACATTTGGACTTCGAACCTGGCTTTTTTAACTCATTAACATACGGATATAAAAACTAAAACTGGTTAAGGTGTCAAGAGTTTAACTTTCTGTACAAAGTCGGGACTTTCTCTGAAAGACGTTTGTTAATCTTGAAGAAAAACACAGTACACTAGCCCTTTTTAGGTTCTTGCAGTCTTCCGTTTTGAGATCTCTCCTTTTGAGTACAGCTCCTGCCTCCTTTAGTAGTCGTATTTTGGGTGGAGTAGTGGGGCCCGGGAGAGAGGGAAGGCGTTCAGGCCTTGGTAGGCCACAGTCCAGGATCCAGTTATAGCCTAGTTCAGCTAGTGCTGGTGGATGGTGTGTTTTTGAAGCTAACATATTTTGATTTGCACAATGTTTAGACTTACTGTGCTGAGCTGGTGGCAGGGCGGAAGGCCGTCCTCAACCACCTCCGGCATATGATCATAATTTAGAGGTGCCATTCATATCCCATGTTGATACTAATTTCATTATGTTGATTATTAGTTTTGAAGCAACTCTAGATTCAACTTTTTTATTTCACAAATACTATCAATTATGTGTATACCTAATAACCATTATTTATGCATAATAGGCTACCTCTTGAATGTCTCAAATGCAAGTTGACATGAGCGTTGCCTTTCCCTTCTGTCCTTGCCTTGCCCTCATGAGGCTGTTAAGAGTTTAATTCCTAGACAGCACAGCCATTGTTCTTCATGCTCTTTGTTCAAGGAGTAACTGAATTCTAATGGAGGCATAGGAGCAGGGAATCTCTTAATTGTGAAAAATGTGCCAGCTGAGGTTGGTGCCATTGGCAAACTAATATGTTAGGTCTCTCGGGGGGAGGGGGGGGAGGGGGGGAAGGGGTGGTTGGTGTTCATGCTTGGTCTCCCTGCTGGCATTAGGTTTAAGAGTTTCCGTTGGTGGGTGACATGCTTGCTGTCGTACCACATGCTAAATGAATGAGTAATCGGGCTTCTCCAAACTCCCATTTCCTGACACCTTAATTGTATTTTCTACCCGGCTGGACAAAGGAATGCAAAACTGTTTTATGGCTGTAAACCGTGTCAGTTGGTGCACAGTGTTGCATTCTAATCAGCTACTGGGTCCCTGACACGGTGGTGATCCATTCTGGCACAAATCTACATGTCAGACTTTTCCCCTCAAAAGACTCGGAATTGAAAAAATATCTTTGCTTTTATTGGCTCTTGTCGGAACATGTGATGTCTGAGTTAGCTACTCTTACACTATATCCATTTTTGGATGTGTTTTAGAAGGCAATTGAAACCCACAAGGTACTCCGCTCTCTCACAGGGCACAGATTTAAGGAATTCACATCATTCTGAATAATGCACGTCAGGGGGGCTCTGGGAACATGGAGCTATCCCCTAATGTTACAGAAATGTGTTGAAATACACTAAGTATACCTCGCACACGTACTACCATACCTCGTTCAAAGACACTTAAATATTCTGTCTTGCCTATTTACCCTCTTAATGGCACACATACGCAATCCATGTCTCAAGGCTTAAAAATCATTATTTAACCTGTCTCCTCCCCTTCATCTACACTGATTTAAAGTGGATTTAACAAGTGACATCAATAAGGGATCATAGCTTTCACCTGGATTCACCTGGTCAGTCTGTCATGGAAAGAGCAGGTGTTCTTAATGTTTTGTATACTCTATCTGCTTTCTAGCTGACCTTGTACAACACTGGAACAACACTGATGTTAGTGACCCAAAACTGATCTGAGTGTGTTGCTAGCACTTTATTGAAACTGGTGTGTCCTCTTTTTGTTATGAGTAGCAGTAAGACACTCTACCATAGCCAACACTTTCTCTAGCCAGTTTGTTAAATGGAAAAACAGTGTAAACCATAGACCAGGACAACTGGGAAACCAGGATGCAGCTCATACATTGTTCACAAATTCTGCATGTTTGTGGCAGGTTATTTTCCAACAGCTTTTCAGTTCTAAGGCAATTTCGATTCTGTCTATTTAAACATGCACTACATGTCCTTCAAATTAGTGGATTCGGCAATTTCAGTCAAACCCGTTGCTGACAGTTGTATAAAATTGAGCACACCGACATCTTCATAGGCAGTAGAATGGCCTTACTGAAGAGCTCAGTGACTTTCAACATGGCACTGTCATAGGATGCCACCTTTCCAACAAGTCAGTTTGTTAAATTTCTGTCCTGCTAGAGCTGCCCCGGTCAACTGTTAGTGCTGTTATTGTGAAGTGGAAACGTCTAGGAACAATGGCTCAGCCGTGAAGTGGTAGGCCACACAAGCTCACAGAAAGGGACTTCCGAGTGCTGAAGCGTGTAGAAATCATCTGTCCTCTGTCGTAACACTCACTATCGAGTTCCAAACTGCCTCTGGAAGCAACGTCAGCACAATAACTGTAGTCGGGAGCTTCATGAAATTGGTTTCCATGGCCGAGCAGCCGCACACAAGCCTAAAATCACCATGCACAATGCCAAGCGTTGGCTGGAGTGGTGTAAAGCTCGCCGCCATTGGACTCTGGAGCAGTGGAAACGCGTTCTCTGGAGTGATGAATCACGCTTCACCATCTGGCAGTCCGACGGACAAATCTGGTTTTGGCGGATGTCAGGAGAACACTACCTGCCCGAATGCATAGTGCCAACTGTAAAGTTTGGTGGAGGAGGAATAATGGTCTGGGTCTGTTTTTCATGATTCGGGCTAGGCCCCTTTAGTTCCAGTGAAGGGAAATCTTAACACTACAGCATACAGTAACATTCTAGACAATTCTGTGCTTCCAACTTTGTGGCAAGTTTGGGGAAAGCCCTTTCCTGTTTTAGCATGACAATGCCCCTGTGCACAAAGTGAGGTCCATACAGAAATGGTTTGTTGAGAACTGTGTAAGAACTTGACTGGCCTGCACAGAGCCCTGACCTCAACCCCATCCAACACCTTTGGGATGAATTGGAACACTGACTGCGATCCAGGCCTAATCGCCCAACATCAGTGCCCGACCTCACTAATGCTCTTGTGGCAGAATGGAAGCAAGTCCCCGCAGCAATGTTTCAACGTCTAGTGGAAGGCCTTCCCAGAAGAGTGGAGGCTGTTATAAGGGGGGACCAACTTCATATTAATTCCCATGATTTTGGATTGAGCTGTTCGACGAGCAGGTGTCCGCATACTTTTGGCAAGTGTACCTAGGGCCCACACCTAGATCGTTTCTATGGGTTGGTGGGCTTCCCTGCCCATCCACCGCTTTAGCAGTCTGTAAATAGAAATGTAGCCTCCATTCAATGCAGTGCACATTGAAGCCACTGCAGGTATTCTGGGCACAACATGCAGACTACGACTTGGAGATCTGCCAGGTGTAATCAGAAGACGTGGGCACGTGAGAATGCATGTGTGCGTGTTGGGGATGAAAATGTTTCAATGAAATTGGGATCCTTAACATTAAGAAAAAAATCCCTAACCAAATTTATTTTTCACAAAATTAAAATCACAGTGCAGTGATCATAAAACAACCACTAACAGGTCCCGTTCGTCATAAAGGGAAAACATTTTTTTTTAACATGCCTAACGCGATAATGCTGTAACGTTAGTAGGAGGAAAGAAATGCACTTATTTTGCTACTTTAGAGCGGGCGGCTCTACAGTGACGAGGGGAGCAGAGATGGCAACCAAGTCGACTTGAACTGCTAGACTTATTGCTAGTTCTCATTGCATAGTACCTGTCTTGACTGCATCAAACCGAGAGAAGCTAGCTAATGTTAGCTAGGCTAATTGAGACTACAAAACTTGAACTGTGCGCTTTCTCCCTGTCCGAATCCTACAGTAAATAACTCCATTCAGATGAAGTAGTAGCCTACCTGTTGGCTCTTGGGGTTGTAGCCTGTCCTTCTCATTGAACTTGCAGTTCTGTCATTTCAATCTTCCATTGATTGCCTAGATATCTCCTAATAACTTGCCACACGGAGGCTGTAGCTCTATGACTGTAGCCTAGTGCCGGTTTGATGACTTGGACAACGAGCTACATGCACCACTCTCTTGTGAAAAGCAAGAGCACCAGCAGCATAAATGATACTGTGGAAAGCGCGGTGTAGATGTGTCCTCAAGCACCCCCAACAGTACACATCTTTATTGTAACCCTGGACAAGCACACCTGATTCAACTTGTCAACTAATCATCAAGCCCTCAATGAGTTAAATGAGGTGTTTGTCCAGGGCTACAACAAACCTGTACTGTTGGGGGTGCTCGAGGACCAGGGTTGGGAAACACTGATGGAGACAATCTGTATTGTGAATTCATGTGGAATTTAATGAATGGAAAACTGCGAAAATAATGGCCTTTTAAACTGTAAGATTTTTTTTCCATTTATCACATCCCTAATGCGTGTGTGTGTGGTTTACATTTTAAGTAGAAAATGTTTCAAGCCTTCTGAGAGTGGGTCTTATCAGCGGTGCATTACAAAGTGTTTTGCTAGGTCTTTAGTCGTGTTCATGCTGCCTGCTTTGTTTTTTACTCCTGGTGAAAATGGAAACCTTCCATTTGGTAGGACCATCGGGTGTGTTCGGGTGCTGTTTACTTATTGACACTACTTTTCCTCCTCAGCTATATGTACTGGACAGACTGGGGGGAGGAGCCTCGCATCGAGAGGGCGGGGATGGATGGCAGCAACAGGAAGATCATCGTGGAGGTGGACATCTATTGGCCGAACGGCCTCACCATTGACCTGGACGAACAGAAATTGTACTGGGCCGACGCTAAGCTGAGCTTCATCCACAGAGCTAACCTGGATGGCTCCTCACGGTCAGTCTGTTCTCATTATTAGTTTTTACACTCTTTGTGCGAAAGCAGCCAGGGATCTGACTGAACCGTAGCACTGGACTCAACTTAATTTCAGAGGATGAGATGGCTGAAACCTCCAATCCAAACACATTTGACTCTGGAGGCCCCAATCCAAACATTGGCTTTGCACATAGGCCCAGTTGTGACCCCTCCCTCTATGCGGTTCTCTGAACTGGAGATGACCTCTCTGCCATACTGTTGAAACCCAATCTGACTTGGCATTATAGTCGTGATTGGGGCCCTCAGGACAAGGGTTGACTTTCCTTTTGTGTAACTGGGATGTAATGGCTGTGTTCATAAAGAGTTAGGGCTGGGCGGTATACCGTATTTTACTATATACCGGTATTGATGCACAGACCGGTTTGGGTTTTTACTTTACATTCTATAACCGTTTCAATGTTTGGTTTAAATGTGATGCGCAACTCCAGCGCGTGTAGTATCAGTTTTTATAGTTTGCTATTTGAGTCTTCTTTATCCCTCTCCTCCTGCTGCATGCTGCTTCCCACACCAAACCCTGCCCCCTGTCACTCAAGGAGAGAGCAACTACTCGACCAGTCGTAGCACTTTCTTGCCATTAACTCTGCACTGCAGTCTACATGGTCAGATGCAACAAGATGTTGGTGACATGCTTTTTTCAACAAGCTTTCTATAATTACACTATTAGTGTATCTTATTGTCTGCAAACTACTGTCTGCTGGTTAGTCTTAGCAAGTTGTGGCTAAAATAAATCTTGTTAGCCGCTAATGCTAATATAGCTACTTAGCTGGATAGCTAGCATGCTAATTTACATTTACGTCATTTAGCAGACGCTCTTATCCAGAGCGACTTACAAATTGGATGTACTAAGAGTCAGAGCAAACGTAGCTATTTAATACAGCACGGTACCAGTGCTGGTGTAGGCCTAGATAAGCATGTTTGTGCAACTGTATCTTCTAAATCAAAGAGGAATAGGCGAGGCATGATTATGTTAGCTAGCTACATGAGGTAAGAAAACATGTAATGTAACATCTAATTAGGGTCACCTGGAAACACTGACCAACACTTTGGTACCCTGTCAATAATTCCTCCCTGGCTTATTCTTTCATTGTCATGTCAAACAACAATATATTCAAGGTGCTGCCCGCTATATTCCAACTATAGAATTTGAATAATCATTAGTGCTGAGCGATTAGTGCTTTTTGAGGTCGGTTCGATAATTTAAAAAATAATGGTTTGGATTTTTTTTATTTATTGAAACATAAAATGCGTTGTGAAATAATGGCATTCAAATTATTTAGAGCTTTTTAATGGAAATTACAATGCCAAAAATTGTGAACATTCAATTGCCAAAACATTGAAAATATTCCATTGTCTCTGTCAGGTCCACATTGGGTAGACATCAATAAAACATTTGCAAATTACTATGAAATAATCAAATATTTCCGTTGTGGATATTACTTTGTTTTTATTTGATAACTTTATTTTTAATTCCTTGACGTCATCATCTCATCTCTGCTCAGGCAGTAGCAGTCAAATAGCCAGACAACGTTATCTCTGAGCTTCCCATACTGAACTGTCTTTAGTCATCCTATTTAGCTAGGCTAGTCTGCCTAAGCATGCTGCAGAGCTGTCTATCATTTTACTAGTTCTTCAAAGTAGATAAGGCATACTTTCACGGACTGTCTCTCTCCCTCTTGTTGTGTACATTCCTCTCATGCGGTCTATGCAGTCTGTGTGTATCTAACATAGCAGGTGTAAAAGTGTGTCCATCTGGGTCTGAGACGGAAACCAACGGGCACAATAGATTGTCATTGTACTTAATTACCACGTTCTTACGCTTAACTGGGTTGAATATTTGCTTAATGAAAACTACAACTCTGTTCAGCCCAGCGTCCCACACAGTCCTTGACATGATTTATCTCGTGAATGATTTGATTTCTTTCTAGAGAAACGGTGCGTTGGGCTCACCAAAAAACCAAACTAAATGGAATTCATGTAATTGAACCGACTTCGGTCAATTAGTTGTTTAATAACAAAAAATAACAAATGTCGGTTATTCACTCGGCGCTAATAATCATTCTATTTCCAAGATTCCAACATTTCACCAATTAACTAAGCGTAGTTGTTTTTGCCCATATCATGCAGCCCTGCGTGGCACAGTGTGGAAATTATAACAAAAGTGCAGGAAATGCAGAAATTGATAAATGCAGAAAATTAAATTGTTTGAAGTTGAATTGAACAGTATAAAACATTAGAATGGCGAAAGCCCCATTTGAAATCATGTATAATGTATGCGTTGCCACCCTAGGGTCAGCATATTTTGAACTTTTATTATTTAAAAAACTCAATACCGTCAAGGTATGTTTACTTTCTCTCGTTCAGACTATGGACTGCTTTCTTCAGGGTGTAGAGTGAGAGGCTGTTTTCTCAAGATCAAGGCAGTTGCATTACCCTCATAATTTGTTTATAACTCCCTCAGGACAAGATATCCCAGTGTTGTGTGTCAGTTTGAAATTAAGTTGTGATTTATAACCATGGTGGAACTCTGCAGTTGGCAAGAAGCAATCTAATTGCATGCCACCAGTAATGGTACTCGGAATTATCGTACGCAATCTTACAGAGAAATGTAAACTTCACCCCAGAAGTAGTTTCTGTTAGCGTTTACCTCTTCTCTGTGTTAAAGCGAGACGTTTTGCCTTTCATGTGCAACACATTCTTGACACGTCTGATTAATGGAGCGTTTTGTAGTATGTTTTCAATGGCTTCAGATATGCACACGTCCAACTTCCAAGTACGTCAAATGCGAAATAGCTGGGAAATCTGGTGTAATTATTATTTTTCCTCTACCAACCCCTCGTTCTTAACACGCTATTAAAGTTTTGGAGAAAACATGCTGTCGCCCTCCTCCCCCTACCCCTCTGAAAATGGATCCCTTACCAACCAACCCTCCACAGCCTGGTGATTGAGGGCCTCAACAGAATTCTGCTTTCTGTATCAGGATTGTTAACACTTGTGCAACGGCATGCCACGCTTTGATCCTGTATTTATTTATGTCCTCACAGGGCTGACTGGCTGTTGGCCTGACTGTGTGTCGTCTGGTGGCGCGAAGGGGAGCACTGCAGTAGTGAATGGGGCTGTGCTGCGCTCGGTGCTCTGTGCTTCTCTGCTCTGACTTCTGCACTGAATCAGGACAGCTGTACCATTAGTACAGGGCCAGGGCAACCGTTCCCCTGTTAAATAGTGTACCAGATGCTGCATTAAAGTCTGATGACAGGCTGATTTGTTTAATTTTCCCCTGGAAAGGGCTTGGAGCGGCTCCTGAACTGTGGTTCCATGACGTCGCTACGTGTTCCAACAAATCCTCCTTTAGGGTCTGACTGAAATCCCCAACCAGGGGTCTCTAGCTTGTTGTTGTTGACTACTTTCCACTGCCACTTGTTTTATTTTTGGTATGAATTTATTGCTACTGTCAGACAGTCTGGGTTTTTGCTAGGGCCGGGACAATACCAGTATCGCAATACTCGTTAGTATCGTGACAAGGAAACAAAACACAAAGCAGATTTAACTTCTGCCCTAATATTGGAAACATACATTATGTTGTCATCCAGTTACATGTATTTATTTTCCAAGCTATAGCACACAATATTTTATGTACAGCAGTTTTCAGCATAGTGTTCATTTTTGCCATGGAAAAAATATTGCGATACTAGTATCGTCACAGCCCTAGTTTTTGCCATTTACTGCTGTGTTTGGTGTCATGACATTCACACTTGTAGAATGGCTGAGAAGCACAACTTGACCAATTTCTTTCATAAATACAATCGGTTTTGAAGTGAATCTATTAGTGTCAACATCTCAACTGATCCTCATCTTCATTGCTTTCCAATTTTACTCTCACAAATTTAGTGTCGAAGCATGGATTGGTATTGATTCTTAGAAAGGTTTGCTGATCTGTCAATTATTTTTTGAATTCACAGGGAGACTGTGGTGGAGGGCACCCTCACCCACCCGTTTGCCCTCACCCTGTCAGAGGAGACTCTGTACTGGACAGACTGGCAGACCCGCTCCATCCACGCCTGCAACAAACACACCGGAGACAAGAGGAGGGAGATCCTCAGTGGAATCTACTCCCCCATGGACATCCAAGTGCTGGGTCCAGATAGACAGCCAGACAGTAAGTAGTGCCTCTTCAGTCTGCAAGTGTAACAGCCTGCAACGTGTTACTTGAATATCCCAACCGTACTCATAATGAATGTTCCTAAGCACAACATAACAGATTGTCTTTGTTTTGGGAGGGTATTTTTAGACTGATCTGCAGAGCTGTCAGTGTCCATACACAGGAATAAATTATTTTTCAAGTGTCTGGCATTCCTCGCTGGATAAATGTCTGTGCTGCGCAGACACAGGGAGACGTTCTCAGTGTGTGTGTTGGGAGGTAGTGAAAAACGGATTACTTTGGCAGTGGGTGATAAAGAACGCCACCATTATGGTGGGTTGCGTCTCCCAAGGAGGGCAGGGGATATAGAGAAAGATGGGAGGGTTAGATAAGAAACACTTTAGAGAGGACAACATGGACATTAGGAGGTAGGCCATTAGATGATAAACATTCACCAATAAATCCCCTAACCTGTATATCAAGCCGCCATAAATTCAATCCAAAAATGTGTTGGCTTAGACTTTGTGAGAGGAGGTTGAGTAGTTTGGCCTTTGACTGTGGCCTGGTTGTAATCCTCCTTTAGTGCTGTGAGAAAGGGGATGGGAGGGTTGGTGTTTGCTGGTTCACTGTGCCAGCTGCTGGGCTTTGTAGCTCTGATGTGCCCTGCTGAGATTGGCAGAGCGTGACCCAGTAGACAGGGAAAATCACGCCACAGGACATCAAACCTTGTGGCACAGCTATTGTCCTAGCAGAGATTTTATTGTGGAGCAAAAATATCACTGTTGGTTTTGTTTGAAAATGTTTTTATTTTAGTTTTTTGAAAGTCATCAAGTTTTTCATCAATTGTTATGTTGTCAGAATGGTTCTCTCGAAGACACCAATGCATGTGAATAGAAGACGCTCGCAGTGTGGTTTTCAGTTTTAGTCAGTGAAACTGAAAGGTCCCTATCTCAGTGTTCTCTCTACTGACATTGCTTCCTCAGTCCAAACTCCCTGCAGTGTGGGCAACGGAGGCTGCTCCCACCTGTGCCTGCTGTCCCCCATGCAGCCTTTCTACAGCTGTGCCTGCCCCACTGGAGTCAAGCTCAAGGAGGATGGGAAGACCTGCCGCCCAGGTAAGAGACTAGCTGCTGTGGCCTGAGGGCATCTAGACCTATACCCTCAGTTGGTATGGGGTTCTCAGTAGAGAGAGCCCCCTTTAAAAGATTACACAACGGCTGTGTCTCAAATGGCACCCTATTCCCGGTACAGTGCACTGCTTTTGGGCTCTGGTCAAAAGTAGTGCACTTTATATAGAATAGGGTGCCATTTGAGACTCAGCCCACACAATGCCCCCTCAGTGATAACTCCCTCTCCTAATGCTACTGTGCATGTGTCGTGGTTTCACATTAGACATTCCTATCTGGTGTATGGGACATTATTGACATTCCTGAGGTTATTTTATTTGTGGACTGTCTTGAGTTAGGCCTATTCAACTGCAAGAGCTGCCCTTAATCACACAAACCAAAAAACTCCATATCAAAAGTAATATTGTCCCAATTTCTTGAAACCGATTAGGAAATATGCCAAACTCTACTTTTAATTTCATAACGACGTGCACAGTAATTAAGCATCAAATTAAATTTGATTTTCATCTTTTTTCTTTTTTATACAATCATTCAATTAAGATGTTTTTATTGGGTGTATTGGCATCCTGTTCCTCGACAAAACATCAGAATGCCTAACCAGAGAGCCATTAAGAGCCTAATCTCTGACAGATGGCTGCTACACACTGCAAACTCTTCAATGCACAATTTACCCTGCCGTTTGCTCTTAATTTCTATTGCCCCCACATACAGACAGATACATTTAGCCTAGAAGCCTACCGCTCCACCCCCTCCTCTCCCCACGTTCCCTACTTTCCAGAGTTGACCAAAGGCCACAGATGTGATTGACTGAGATTCAGGAAGGTTGGACCTCCCCTGTTATGCTTTGTTTTGCTGCTGCGGTCATTTCCCTTGCCACTCCAATCTCCTCGCCTTACTTCTGGGCAGAGAGAGCAATTACATAGGAAGCCAAGCCTAATCAGGTCACTGCTCCGTTTGTGTGTTTAGTGGACACAAACCGGGCCCATCCTGCAAAATGAAACCTGTTTGTTTGACTTGCCCCAGGGTGTTTACATTCCCTCTCTTCTGGTCCCTCTCTGGAGGGCCTGATATATCTCTCTCAGCCTGCCCGTGACTAAGGAGAGACCCACCCCACCCACAAACCTCATAAAGGTGACATACTTGTCTAGAGGGGAAGAAAACAACTGTTGTGGGGGATTTCTTGGGATCAACCCTTGTTTGAGGAGTGACAGCCCTTTTGATTGTTTAGTAGCTGGAGGCTGTTTTTACTTGGGATACCTCCTTGTTGGAATGAACCAGTTCAACGTCAAGCCAAGGTCAGTGCTGATTCTGAAATCCGGGTTCAGTCCTGGCTGTCCTGGTTCTCATCCCTCTCTCTGGTGGACAGAAAACACTTGTCTCTGTGCACCAGTCTTGTTAATGACAGGCAGCCCATTCTTTGTCCCAAAAAGACTCCTCTCCCAGGCTAGGGATGGAGCAGAGCCTCTATTTGAAATTGAGGCGGTGTATTCCCAGGCCAGGAAACAATGAGTTGTATTCTTCTAGCCCTCATTCCAGAGGAGTAAGTAAAAGTTTTTTTTTGTTGGGGGGGCGGGGGCGGGCGGTTAGTTATCCAGGCCTGATAGAACATGGATGTATTCAGAGTGACTACAAGATTAAGCCAACCTCCAGCAGTGTTGACAACTAAACCGAATGTAAAACAATACCCCATTGTATCAGCTCCGATTAGGGGGAAAGCAGCAGGACGGGGGGGCGGGGGGTGCCTGTGTGAAGATTAAAAAGAGCAAGTGTCCACGCTCCTCATTTGTTTAGCTTGGGTGGCTAGATTGAGGGCTTTTGTTGTAGTTTTTGGGGAAGTCTTGTCACTTTGTCAAATGTGAAGCAGACCGAGGAGCGAATTTAAATCAAAGACGTGCCGTTGTTCTCTCCTTGATGGAAAACGAAGGGCTGTTTTTTCACTGTCATTACTGATTGGTGTCACCCTTGATGGATGCCTTCTTCTGATTGGGTGTCGGTAGTCTGCAGCTGGTCTTGGGGGCACTGGAGCGTAAATGGCTAAAACGTGAGATTAGGCGAGGAAAAAGTTGGACCTAATTGCCTCCAGAGTGTGGCTCTAGTGAGCAAATGCAGCTGCTATTTAAACCAGGCTCAGTGGCAGCTAGGAGTTCCCTCAGGAAAACATTTATACACAACTGTTTTTGTTAGGCTGAACATGAAAATATTTAAAAGGGATAATTTAGTATTTTGGATTTGTTTCAAAATCTAGTCTAAAGCCTTTTTGTTTGGGTAAAAAGTGATCAAATTACCTATTTTCATCAACTAAAAACCGAGTAAACAAATAGAATACAATAATTAAGTTACAACTATAAATTGTCCTCTGAAGGTTCATCTTTACTAAAACATATACATTTATGCTTGTCAGGTATGGCTATGTAGGACCTCTCAGATAAGTCCCCAATAAGATGTTATTTCCCATGCCAGTTGAGTGCCATACGCTCTTCCCACTCATGTCCACTTCTCTACCCCCAGGTGCGGAGCAGGTTCTGCTGCTGGCCCGGAGGACTGACCTGAGGAGGATCTCTCTGGACCTCCCAGACTTCACCGACATCGTCCTTCAGGTAGATGACATCCGCCATGCCATTGCCATCGACTACGACCCCGTGGATGGATACGTGTACTGGACGGATGACGAGGTCAAAGCCATCCGCCGCTCCCGCATCGACGGCACCGAGGCCCAGACCCTGGTCACCACGGAGATCAACCACCCAGATGGCATCGCGGTGGACTGGGTGGCCCGGAACCTGTACTGGACGGATACTGGCACTGACCGTATTGAGGTTACCAGGTTGAACGGAACCTCCCGGCGTATTCTGATCTCAGAGAACTTGGATGAACCAAGGGCCATTGTGCTGGACCCTGTCAATGGGTACGTGCTTCTGTTTATAGACGATGTAGGTATTTTTTCTTACTTGATCACAGCAATCAAGTTAACTAATTTCAACAACAACAAAAAACGTATTATGCGTTCCTCCGTCATTCCTTATGTACTCTACAAAACACCTGTGGAATGATTTAACTTCCAGTTACACTTTAAATGATTTCAGTTTAGTTTTAATTTTGTTCTTGTCTCTCTCCAAAGTTACATGTACTGGACAGACTGGGGGGAGAAGCCCAAGATAGAGCGAGCTAACCTGGATGGAACTGAGCGTCTCGTGCTGCTCAATACCTCGCTGGGTTGGCCCAATGGTTTAGCCATCGACTATGAAGCAGGAAAACTGTACTGGGGCGATGCCAAGATGGACAGAATTGAGGTAAGTCTCTAAAAAGGAAGGTGCTTCTTATGCACCAAATAGTTGTGTATGGAGCAACTATAATATTTCCGTCATAGTTTGCTGCTGTTGATTGTGGAAGCAGTTGAGTTGAGATCTCCCTTGGACTTGTTCTCTCATTCGTTCCCCTCATTTGAGGTTGTCTGGTGTGTTTGTGTTGCCTGTGGATGTTGAGAAGTGCTTCAGGAGCACATTCTTGGATGAGGAGAGGCCGCCCAGGCCTGAGATCTAGCTGACATAGGGCTGGCACAATTACCTTATAACCGTGTTACAGACGGTTATGGATGAAGACCGTCATGGAAGTAAAATAACCGCCATAACCGTTTAAAAAAGAATAATTAAAATGTATATATGTCATTGTGATGAAATAATTTCCATGGTAATGTAGAATGATCATTCAAATTGTTAACTGATGAGGCTCATGGAATGTATTTTTTTGTAATGTCAGTTGAGTGCAATCAGCAAATCACAGCACATATTTTAGCACATACAGTATTTTACTTCCTGCTTTGCTCCTATGGGTACACTTGCAATGTCCACCCATTATGCCATCGTTGACTTGAATGGGGATGCCCGTCCTATTAAATATATTTATATGGCAGCACATGCAGTCAGCAGCGGAGGAGAAAATGTGCGCAAAAAATAATTACAGTGACCGCGGTCATTTGGCTGGCCAATTAGCATCATCCAAAATTCCATGACCGTCACAGCCCGTGTGAGCTACAGAGGAATGTCAGAGCGAGAGCTGTTATGTAATACCTGGACAAGCATCACTACATTTCCTGTCAGACACACTGCAGTTATATCATTGTTTGGATTCAAACCGCTAGGACTTTATACTGTACTTATTTCCTGCATGCCTCTGTCCAAAGCCTACTTTTTTGAAACACTTATATTGCCCAGTATCTTTACCCAGTATATTGCCCAATATCCCAATCTTTATATTGCCCAATATTTGTGTTCTTTAAGGGGGGGCATTTACATGTGAAAGACTGAAATATTTGAAGAGGATAGAAACTGGGCTAGGCCGATCCTTTGTTAGAGCGTGTGGGTGATCATATCTTTAGAGATAGAGCTGTGAGTGTGTCTTCAAGGTCTCTGACTGTATTTTATGATTTATCGTCTACCTGCATGCACAGGTCCCAGGGTGTTTAATACCACGGTGGCCATATTTCTCCAGTCACATGCTCCATATAATATGTAAACACAGGAAGAGCCGGAGCCACCTCCCAGATGAGCTTTAACACCGCTTGGTGGGAATTAGTTTGTTTTCCTTTTCCTTCTCACTCTTTCTCTTCTCTTTCCCTGTGACTGTGTGTGTGTCCTGTTGGTTGAATATTCCCCTGCTCATAACTATGCCTTTACCAGTGGTTAGTGAACTCACTTGGGTTTCTGTTAATGTAGGAGCAGTTTGTCTGAGTGGCCCCTATCCACTGGGTTTTCCCAGCTCACCCTGCAGGGGCATTGTTCGGTCTCGGAAAATGTTAACTACCCCTAGAGGGAAGGTAGGGGGAAGATGTTCCGTTTACAGATGCACTCCAAAACTCTTGGTTGAACTGTACATCATTTTTACCTGCCTAGCTAGAATGCTCTGAAGCTGGTGTGTTTGTGTCCAAAGTGTTGATTTTCATTAAGGGGGTCAGTCATGCAGGCTGGGATGAATGAGCAGGGATTAGGGAGCTCCCACTGAGATATTGAGCTCAATGAGAGGCCACAGACTTGTCAACATGTAATGTCCCTGTCTCCCCTTTCCCCTCGCCTCAAACCAGGCATCTGTCCCTCGCTGGGGCTGGTTTTGGCTAGCACCAGGCTCCAGCGAGCCTTGGCTTTTGTCCAGGGGCACGGTGAAGAAATGTTCTCTCCTGTCTGATGCCGTTCTCAACTCAGAGCCGTGGGGCAAAGCTTTCCTGAAAGAGTGACGACGACGTCTCTAGAGCCCCACAGGAAAGGATTCAGGGTAGACGGAGAAGTAGAAAGAGCTCTATGTCAGATGACGATGTCAGAAACCTTTAATCCATCTGTGTGTGCAGGTCCTGACAGTGGAGAATGACTAATTCTGGGAATCATATGGTTTGGTTTATTTCAAGATGAATACTTATTAGTGATAACTGGATAATTTAGGTGAAAAATGGCTATTAGCATCATACAATAGTGTTGCCAGAAATCTTACATTCCATAACTTTGTGACTGGTGAATAGAGTTGTTTATTTGGTCTGGACCCTGCAGTCCAGAGTCCCCTGCCTGACTGTCTGTGTAGAGCAGATGGAGGAGAAACAGAAACCGAACAGGGGTAGTGAGGCGATTCAGAGAGGAGGGGGTTGGGCAGCCTGACCAATGTGCTGACTGACAAGGGAAGCCCCTAGCCCGTGTGCTCTGCCGTGACCCTTGCCCTGGACCTTACAATGGCAGCATAGAATGGTGGCGGGCCGGCCCTTGTAGAGTCCTCCTCAGCAGCCCCCCCCCCTGCACCAGATGCACACTTTGGTGGCAGCCCTGCTTCCAGAGGCTCCCAGCAGCTGACAAGTGTGTTCTGTTCTGCTCTTTTCACAAGGATTCTTCAGCTTCACCTAATGGAGGCCCGGGCCATTCTTCCACAGACCCACTTAGCTGCTGAAGGGGCAGAACTGCTTGAAGTGCTAATGGAGAGAAATCCAGGCGCTGCTCAGACATCAGTAATTTCTCATTAAAGTTTTGAGTTCCCCCTTGTTTTTTTGTAATGGCTGTTGGAGATTCCAAGGATATCTTTTCCTTTTAAAGAATGGTGCATTTAGTTGTTACTGCTTACCTTTTTTTTTCCCTTTTAGATGACAACAACATTAGGTCTTGAATATCAAAGTTTTGAAAAGTGCCTTCTGGCATTTGGAATGCAGCAGTTCACTGCCTGAATGGTTATAAATAGAAGTCTGGAGGCTTTTTAGCCCTCCTCCCAGCCTCTTTTTTTTTTTTTTTTTTGTCCCCCTTTTCTCTTTTTCTGTGCTGGTGACTGGGCCTGTCTGAATATATTTTTTTTCCTATTGCAACGTGAATTGCCTTTTGGGTCCGAAGACATTTTTCATTGTTCAGTGTGAGCGGGAATAGCTCTTCACTCCACTAAATGTTTGTCATCTTCACACATTGCATCATTGCATATAGCTTTCATGCACTGGCATGTGTGGTATGTGCGCTGTTATTTGAATATCTGAATGGACATTATTATTCGAATACTTGTGAGTATTCATTTTTTGCAAGAAAAAGTATAGCCTAATATAAGCCTATTTTCACACTGGAAATGCTTTTTCTAAATTAAAATATCCATACAAGGATATACCATGACATTTCAAATTATTAATTTAATAAAACTACAAACTTTTTAATGTAGATTTTATGACGTGCACGGTGCGGCCAATAAAAAGACCAGTATCTAACCGGTAGCCTTCACGTGTGTAGCTTGTTTATGGTGGCCAATCAATGTGGAGTGAGTTGACTAATCCAATGCACGAGTGAATAACATTTTCGGAATTAAACGTTTGCGAAATAAGGAGTCGGCTACAACGAGCAACCAACCGGTAGGCTGTTTTATCTGAATGGGGTTGGGAAGAAACCGCAGCTAGCTTTTATGGGATGATACATAACATTGTGGCTACTACAAGTTAGCTAGTCTTGGCTGTAGCCGCTGCTTGCTACACACTCCGCCCCTTATAACCTCGGCGGCTGCAGCAATAGAGTGCCAGCCTCCCCATCGCACAGCAGTGCTCTGGTTAAAAACGCTCACGCATTTAGAATATCTGACCAAAAAATTAATACTATTCGAATAGTGAAATTATTTCAAACTCCCATCCCTAGTGTGGCTCTCAGCCACATCTGATAATATAAATTGGGTCAGAGAATGTGTTTCTGGGGATGTTTTATTACTATTATACCACTTTTTTAAAAAGCGTTATGGCTTGAAAGTCCCCCTTGCCATCTCCAGAGGTCGCACCTTTTCACACGGTATGCTGCAAGAGGCACGTTTCATTCACAATGGAGAAATATTTAGACTGCATTTTCTGTTGCTTGTTGTTGAGTAAATAGAGTAAGTCCAACACTTTCAATTAAGTAAATGAGTAATTTGTTTTCCTTTGTCCATATCAATGTTCTGAAGTGAAGTTGCAATACTATTAAATTAGATTAATATTATTAGAGTATTTATTGTAAGACAAAATAGTAGGGATAAAGTTTCCTTAATATCTTTATCTTTGACAGAGCTTTTCATTACTGATGAGCTACCAAGTAGGCCTTTTGCTGAGATAGTGGAGTTTGAAATGGTGAACTGAGTCCACTGCCTCCTTTTCTTTGAAATGTGCTGTTGAAAGCTCGGTTTTGAATACAGTCCAAGAACATCCTCTTTCATCTTGGGACCCGCACGTCTGAAAGCAGGCTAAATTATTGGCACTCGGATTGGAAGGTTTTTCCTTAAACAGTAAGGGAATTGTGGTCTTTTATTTCAGTCTCTCGCCATGTGTTTTCGCCTCTTTTGAGGAATCTGACTCCCCCTGCAACCTCGCCACCCCCACCCCCCGGTGAAAGCCTCTGATGTTGCCGCACCCCCTCGTTCACCCTAGAACTGGTGAGATCCTGAGGATAACTCATTTGACTGATGTGCTAGTCCTCTATACAGAAACTCATGCTTTGTTGTACAATTATGCAGATTCTCCTTCCGTGGAGCATTTAGTCACCCTTCATTGCCGTGTGTGTGCAGTGTGGTTCAATATGGTACATTTGGGAGGTAGAGGAAAGTAAATGGTATGGTGATCGAATTTCCTCCAGAAGAATATGAGAGGAATGAAAAATATGAGCTTCTCAGGGAACTGGGTGTTGGTTCTCAGAACTGAATCTCAAAGACCTCCTGTGATCTCAGCAGCTGTACCCAATACCCATCTCTGTGTTGGTGAGAAAAGAGTAGAGGCAACTTTGAACCCATGTGTGAAAATAACATTTTTTATTTTAGGGCTTACTACTGAGCCATGAATCTCATTAAAATAAGAAAATAAATGTGGAATTGCCTGTTTTTATGTCAAATCATTATGTGAAGTAGTCTATTATTTCTATTAAAAGTGGAGAAAGTGCGCAAACAACAATGAGCAGCCTACTTAAGCGCATCTGATTACTTGACTTTTTTTCGGTACTTTACAGCCAAGGTAGTGGCAACCAGGGCTGTTTCGCCACCACAATGAAAAGCTTTGCTCTGAAAGAAAGTCTTTATTTAGACCTGAGATCTGAGTCTGACCAGCTGAAGGCCCTGGTGCTGATGGATGCTGGCTGAAACCTCTCGTCTGAAAGGGATCAATAATGTTTTCTTTAAAGTTCCCCCGAAGCGTCGCTCAGATGGCCTCGCCACATTGTTGCCATCTTGAGCCGTGAAACTTGATTTGCAGAGGATTTTCCAACAAGGGGCCTCGCTCTAAAACATTGCCCATGCTAATGACAGCTTTAGTCTCAGTATAAGTGGCCCGTCCAAGCCTCTTCACATGGAGGACGGTGGGGGGGACAGCAGCAGAGTAAGCCATAGAGCACTCAGCCACTCAACACAGACACAACCACGCACACACAGCCCTGTGGCCGATCAGTCTTAACAGCTGAGTTGAATCACACAGACTCCCTCTCTTAATCCCTGTCCAACCACCCTCACAGTCAGTAAGATCAAACCACCTCAAGTCACAACTCAAATTCTAGGAAAGAAGTTCAGAAACTCCTCAAATTCCCATTCCGCTATGGAGTCCTCTGCCATCATTGCCAATTCTGTGTTTTCATTCAGTCACAATTTCATGGAATGAAGTCTGCTGAATGATCCGCTCTCCCTACAGGCTATCCACATGTTTACTGTGGAACTCCCTGGTTTTATAAAGGGGGATGATGACACAAGCATATCATTTTCTGAGATGTCTAGTAAGTCTTTGTACAAGCTTGTTGTTGTGCTAGCCTTGTTGGCTTGTTTTGTTTCCACTGCTACGTTTTATATCTCACGTAGCCAATTAGTTACTTGCCTGGTAACAACAGTTTGTTGCTGTTGTTGCCTTATACAGTGAGGTCTTAAACTTTGATGTGCCAAGCTCTGAGGAAGGATACACATTTGAGGGGAATAAAAGACACCTGGCTTTCGTAATGTTTTCCACCTCCATCGGCCAGCACTCTGCTGTCCAACTTTTCACTCACGACTTCGCCGGTAAACGCTCATCTTATTGATGTCTCGTGGCGGTGCACCTTTGGGCAAGGCTGTATTAGAAAACACATCTAGGTGTCTGAAAGACTGATTAGTGGCAGTGGTGGAAAATACCCAATTTTGTCATACTTGAGTAAAAGTAAAGATACCTTTTTTTTATAGAAAATTACTCACGTAAAAGTGAAAGTCACCCAGTAAAATACTACTTGAGTAAAAGTCTAAAAGTATTTGGTTTTAAATATACTTAAGTATCAAAAGTAAATGTAATTTCTAAATATACTTAAGTATCAAAAGTAGAAGTGTAAATCATTTCACATTCATTATATTAAGCAAACCAGACGGAACGATTTTCTTAAATGTATGGATAGCCAGGGGCACACTCCAACACTCAGACATAATTTACAAACGGAGTCTGCAAGAGGAGAGGCAGTAGGGATGACCAGGGATGTTCTCTTGATGTGTGTGAATTGGACCGTTTTCCTGTCCTGCGACGCATTCGAAATGTAACGAGTACTTTTGGTTGTCAGGGAAAATGTATGGAGTAAAAAGTACATTATTTTCTTTAGGAATGTAGTGAAGTAAAAGTTGTCATATATATAAAAAGTAAAATACAGATACTACTTAAGTAGTACTTTAAAGTATTTTTACTTAAGTACTTTCCACCACTGATTAGTGGCAAGTGTTGCTTTTTGGTGCCTTCATCAATGTTAAAGGTGTGTTAAAGATGTCTGCCCAGGC